ATTATTATAGTACACAGTCCTGAACTTACCTGTTAAATCTTATTCGATTGTATCGGTAAGTGAATTTAAGGCAAGTACTTAGTAAATAAAGTTGTAGCCCAGGAAATTGCATATTTAATTTTAATGCATATTAACAAAAGGCCCTTCTCATGGGTTATATCAATTTGCATTCTCTATGCCACACAACATTTACCCTAGCTCAACCTAAATGCTAGGGACAAAAAAAAAATTCAAATTCATAGAAACACATGTCCTTTCAACTTCAGCAGTTTAAGGGGAAATATCAGATGAGATCTGAAAAAAAAACAAGCTTCCCTCCGGCCTTGCGGATTGCTAAGAAAATCCTTTTTCCAAAGACAAATTCTTGTTTCTATTGGTCAGCTTTTTGGAACTTAGCCAAAATTCATGGCCAACTGCTTCTTTTGTATAGTCTCATAATGAAATATACATATATCGTGGCCTTTTTGAAAACAAATACATTACTCAATTGTTGTTAGATAGAAATAATTGCTTAAAAGCTTTGCAGATATCATATAGAATGTTTCTTCAAAGTGAACAGGTAGCAATGCATGGAATTCATTCCTTCGCTCAGCCTCTCCCAAGGATTCCGTGGCCTATTGACACTGAATAAGAAAAGTAACCTATGTGCAAAAAGGTTTCATTCCATTAGCATGCATGAGAGCAGAACAGCTGAAGCCCTACAAGCCAAGGACGAATATACCCTTTGTCTCTTGATGAGAAAATGTCTCCGTGATAAATGGTTACAGACAGCGGTGTCACAGGGGCAACAGCACAGAGAACAGCTCCTGCAAACTTTTTTCCCCCCTCGATTTTCTTTGTAACATTGTGTGCATTGTGCCTAACCTTTCAAATAAAAGGCGCTTACTGCAATGTAAGTTAAATTCCCAACCCTTGTAGAGACACTTCCCAGAAAACCGAACAAGCAAACAAAACAATCAACCAAAAAAAAAAAAAAAAAAAAACCCAACAAAAAAACCCAAAAACCTTTGGAAAGGGTATGGAACGGCGTCCCAAAGGCTTCATAAGGAATGAATATTCAGACTGTAAAGAGAAATGTGGTACATCCGGCGTTCAAGTAACGTGGGCCTAAATGGGTAGTCAGTCAAGTGCACTGCCCGTAGTCAACACAAAATACCAGACACACCCTTGTTACAGTTGTACAGTTATTTGCATAAATACAAACAAAATCTAATAAATTTGTGATAAAAATTAAGTCGGAAGGCATGGGGCTTTATTTCTTTGACATCGGATGCTGCAACACTACCAGTGACCTCCTGTTACTTTGCAAATCCGAGGTTAGTTACAAGTTGTTGACAACTTTGTCCCCGTTCAGTGTGTAGCTCCAGGGCAACCTTTCCCTGACTTGGCTTTAGAGAGGTCTCACTCAGCTCACCTAGGGACCCAGACTGCTCCCAACCCAGCACTCTGCCTGTCTTGCTGCCCGGTGGGCTCATAGTTCGATTTTCTAAAACAGGAACGTTAACATCGTGCTTGTGCTTTCCTCTGCCCCACCGGGAAGAAAAGTCCAGATACCGAGCAAGAAAAAAAGCGCGGTGGCTCTCCGTTAACCCCTCACCCTGCTCTCTCATGTTTTCTTTCTTAGCGCCAGCGGCGGGTTGGGCTAGCCCGATCCGCCCACAGCGGGGGGGAGGGGTGGTGTCCAACCCCGCTAGGACCGCCCACAGGGGCGGGCCAGGAGGCGGACCCGAATCCACACCCCGCCCCCTGCGTCGGCGCGCCTGCGTGCTAGCGTGGGCCTGCGGTTGGCCGCCCGGGTTCTGGGCTTCCCGCCCCCGCCCGCGCCCTCGCACCTCCGCCTACTCTACGCGATGACGCACCGCAGGTTTGCGGACGTG